GTTTTAGCCTTTCTAAAATGGTTCCCAGTGTGTTTCAGCCTCTTTAACTTCTTATAACCTACTTTTAAAATCTGATCACTTTGCTTTTTATATGAAATGATAGTTGATCGATGAGGCCACATTTATGAAGAAAACCATTCAAATTTGTCTGTGAAAGCAAAGCAAAAACAGGAATCAGGTTTAGGTTCACGCTGATACCAATCAGTCTGAATAGAAATAGAAACAGAAAGCCTTTATTGTCATTAAACAAATGTAAAATGAATTGTCCTGATCTGACCAAAGCGGGATCAGAATATTCCTCATTATATCTATCTGATAGCATAAAAAAGACATTTGTAGCGACTGCATGAGGCCGTGATGAAAAGCATGCATGTATGAAACTGTGAAAACATCATCCTGAATTCATTAAAAAGCATTCTGAAAAAATAAAGACCGTACTGAAACACGGCTTCATATGTAAAAGTGTCTTCTTCCCTTTCAACAAATCTGTGCATGCAAATGAATGCGCCCAGCAGGCGCCTGAGCCGGCAGCAGCAGAAGGCTGAGCAGGTCAGTGCAGCATACGGTGCACAGACAGAAACTAATCCGTCTCTCTGGGCTCTGGCTTCGTTCCCAGATTTCATCGTGTCAGATGGATGCAGCCTGTTGTTCTCGTGTCACTTTCTCCCTCTCGGTTTCCTGCTCTCACTGTCCTCCTCCCCATCCCTGTGCTCTGACCCCAGACCTGTGGGAGCGCGACCTGGTGGAGCTGGTCCTGGAGGTGTCGGTGTCGCAGGTGTCCCACCGTCAGCGCGACATGCTGCTGCGACAGGTGGGCGTGCTACTGGGCGTGCTCGACAGCGACATCATCGTACGAGAGATCAGTGCTTTCAACGAGCACAGGTGAGCTACTCTCCAGTTTTTAAAAAATTTCCTAACGTTTATTTTTCTTGTACAGATTTTTATTACTGGCAAAGCTGCAGACACATGATGTGAGTAAAAGTAGCCAGGACTTTTAGTACTGGACCCAACAGATCCTGGCTTAATTGGGTTTAATATACATGCATTTGTACAAAGTCATTAAGCCTCTCAGAAGTCGTTGTCATGGTTCCCCTTTACTATCGTAAATTCCAGACTATTGAGCACCTGAATATAAGCTCCACCCACTGACTCTGAACAGGAAACCAGGTGTGTACATATCCAGGCTGCTCTGGTCTCTAAGCTGCAGGTGTCCACGTTGGAACATGAGATATTTACACAGAAAGATGTTTTAACTTTTATTTAAATGCGTACCGTAGCTGCTTTTTTCTGAACACTTCCTGTAACACGGCTGGTTAAGGAAATAAAACTCCAGCAGCTACCAGGAAAAGTCACTGATGGCTATCTTCATCTTCCTCCTGCACTAAAACCACTAAAGTCGTCTTCTTCAGTGTCTTCAGGAGCTGAACAGCCTCAGAATCACTTCGTCACTTCCTCAGTCTCTCTGTCGTCGTCGCTCTCAGCGTCACTTTGGTCTCGAGGCGAATTCGTAGAAACCAAAAAATCCATGAATTAGCCGCATCGTTATTTAAGCCGCAGTGTTCAAAGCGTGTGAAAAAAGTAGCGGCTTATAGTCCAGGAATTATGGTCGCTAAACCCCTACGATGCTCGCTGTTTTCCAACGTGGAGCTACTGCCTCCTCTGGTCCCTACAGTATTAAACAATTAGAGGTTCTACTTGGTAGCGTAAATACAGCTGATGTAAAATAGTCCAAATCTGTATTGTCTAGAAATAATGGTATTAGATTGGGACTCGACAGATGCTAAATATGTGACTCAGATCGCAAGCAATTTGATCAGGACATCTCTAATAAGATTCTTTATTTGTCGAGCACACTTCAAAGTTCAAAGTGCTTCACAAGACAGCGAAATAAAACAGAGAAGTCATGAAATCATTAAAATTTAATAGAGTGATAAAAACACAATATGGTGAATGAAAACCAGCTCGGTGTCAGAAAAGATAAACGCAAATACATAGTGCTCAAGTAGCTGTTAGGTTTACCACCAAGATCTGGAGTTTAGCTGATTCCAGCTTGTGTAGACAACTGGCTGGAGGTCATTAAGCCTCAGAAGTCTTTGTCCTGGTGCCCATTCATGAGCTAAACCCCCACAGCGCTCTCTGCTGGCCAACACGGACCTGCTCTGATTGTTTCAGTATTTAACAGTATAGGAGGTTCTACCTGGTGGAACAACCAGGTGCTACAGCTGATGTACAACACCTGAAGTGTGTGTTAACTTGGAAAATATTATTGGATATCGGCACATACCAAATATTAAATGACTCGGATCATGTGCAAAAGATAAAACCTGGCTGGAGCAGCCTTACTACTCAATCCTAAAATAACAGAAAACATGAGATTTGTGAGTTCTTTGGATCATATCAGAAACACTAAGAGAAATCAGCTTCACCCACCGTCACACCTTTAATAAACATATAAGCTACGGATCACCAATAAATGATTAACATATTAATAAATGATTACCTGAGAGCAAACAATTGATTTTACTTACTGGTGATTACTCTCCCTGCTGTCGTCCTCAGCACTCGTTTGGTCTTCCTGGTGTCGGGCGGTCAGGGGCGCCCTCCCCTGTCCGGTCGCAGCGTTGCACTTGGCCTCCGCAACAAACTGCGCAAACAGAAGAATGACTTTTTCATCTACAAGGCCCGACGAGTCGACACAGTCAGTGAGTACCTGGCAGGTGTCGATGCATGCAGCCAGACGAAAGAAGTAAAGGAAAAAGGGATGTTGACGTTGGCATTTTATATATTAGATTATAAACTATCAGTAAACGGTGCGTTTTTATTTGTTGTGACTGTGAGCCTGAGGCTGCAGGCGGTTCTCAGGAACAGCTGCTTTGACCTCTTGGTTCTGTTACTTAAGATAATGGTGAGATAATGACAGTGATTGATTGGACGGAGGCCACTCAGAGCCTCTCAGGTTTTTGACCTGTTGCTACAAGTTTTGACTCTTTATTCTTTCCTCTGTGGTGAAACTTGGACGCTTTAGTCTGAAGCCCTCTTCAGACATGAGACGTGTGACATTGCTGACTTCAGGGTTACGTTACGTGTACGTTATATGTTTGTCATAGACAACAAATCAAGTGACATATGATCGCCCACCACATTGTCCTATGTCAGTAAGCAGGAAGAGAGAGGCTCGTCACTTAACCCTCTGAACCCTGAGCAGTTTCTGGTCTGCAGTATAAAATCCATTACCTCTGTGGAAACAGGACAACCACAAAGAAGGAGAGAGAACTCAGAAATATAATCTGTGCAGTATAACACAGACTTGCATATAAAATCTTTGGTACTTCCTGGTCTTGCAGTTAAAGAAGAGAAGCTCATGTGTGAAGGGGGCTTTGTACTCAGGTGGCCTGTGAATATTCTCCTCTGTGATGTTAAAGCTTTGGCCTCACTAAACCTCCACTCTGCTGCTCCTCAGTCTGTCAGCTCAACTGTTCCAGTCACGGCGAGTGCGACTCGTTCACTCGGCGCTGCGTCTGCCATCCTTTCTGGATGGAGAACTTCATCAGAGCTCAGCTGGGAGACACAGAGAGCAACTGTGGTGAGACCAGATGAATCTGTCGAAAGCAGCTTTTTGTCCTTCTGAGAGTCAGACGCATGTTTACGTAGTGAAACTGAACACAGAGTGAATATAGAGACGGTTCATGTGGTTACGGTTTTGTCGTCTTGATGTATGTTTACGTTGCGCTTATTCCGTTCTTAGTAACAAACTCTGGTTTTGTGTCCAACACATGTTTTGTTTTCAGAGTGGAGCGTACTCTACGTGACTATAGCCTCCTTTATGATCGTGGTGGCCGTGGCAACACTGGTGTGGGGGATGGTGTGCTGCTGCAACAGGTGAGTTCAACACCGCAAGTTTTAAATCATATGTTAGGAATCGTATTAAATATCATTAGGTACGCGCTGCACTCTACCTGTTTAACACCAACGCATCACTCTTGGTTTTTGTTTGGTTTTTTTTGTCCTGGAAGGCGCAAGAGCAAAGTGCGCAGAAGCAAAAGCCGATACAAAATACTGGAAGCCGACGAGCAGGACAGTCTGGAGCTTCAGCCGCCGAGAGCTGGTGAGACAGACTCACTGACAACACAACACAACCAGCTCCACTTCACCTTTACTGTCCTGAATTCAAAGTCTGCTGCTGTATTTTGACCAGATTCTGATTCAAATGTCACAAATGCGTACATCGTTTGAAAGTGAAAAACCTCAAAATTCAGATGGTGTGATCCATTCTAAAATACCACAGCTTCAATAGTTCCCTACTTTCTTTGACTCTCTATTTTACCAACAACCTAGAATCAACGTGTGCAACATTTTCCAGCTGTTACAAACTCTGGGAACTCTACATGCTGTGGATATTTACCTATTTACATTCGGCTGAAAACTGTCCCAGAATTTCTGTCACGTGACTGTCGGTCGCAGCTGAATCGGTTAAACCTTTAAAGTTGCGCTGAGGAGTGCAGAATTATTAGCATTAAACAGAATCGGGTTACAGCAAACACTTTATTTTTGGCAAATTTTTAAGTAAGCCAAATATAATGAAGTGTTTTTGATTAGATATTCACAGTTCTCTGATTGAACAGCCTGTCGCAGAAGAGCAGTTTAATTCCTGTTAAAAGAATTTGACGATTCTTTGTTTTTACAGTTTTAGATTCAGACAAATGATGTAACTTTGGCGATATTTTTATTTTTTAAGAAGATAACATGCCTTTTAATGATGCCCTGGAGGTTCAGAGGGTTAATACATGGATCTCCTGTTTAAATGGAGGACTAAATACAATCCTGTTCTGATCCAACTCTTCTCCCGTGTCCTCCTGCCAGCCCGCCTGAAGCCGGTTCCTGCTCCCACCTCCTCGGCCCTCATGCACTCGGACTCGGACCTGGACAGCGACGACGGGCAGGGCGGCGTTCCCTGGACGGAGCAGGAGCGAGGCCACCTGCTGAGGCCCCAGAACGGATCCCTGAGGAACGGCCAGGGCCCGGCCCGGCCCAAGAAGCAACGGGAGGAGCTGCTATAGCAACAGAGGAGGGGGGAGCCGGCAGCTGTCCCTCCTCAGTCCTCCCTCCAATCCTCACTCTTCCTCTTTTTCTTTTGCTTCCCTCCACGAAAACCTCACACCTCTCATCCGCGAAGACTGGAGCTGTGCAGCAGGTGGACGGAGGAACATGCTGGAAACATGTCGTCCCACCTTCGCGCCGCTGAAACCTGCTCCCACGCTGAGCCAACGGAGGGACGGAATAACTGCTTCTCACTCAGAACTCGTGCTGAGCACTGTGTTTTCACCGCTACATAAGAAACAAGCCCTATAACTGAACACAGAGACATAAGGAATGTACCGCTGCCCTCTTACTGCTGGCTCGCATCACGAGAGGACGTAGATGAACTCTGCTTCAACGACACGAAAACCAGCCACTCGACACCTTGCCTCTCGTAGACACGCATGTACAAACACGTCACTGTTTCAGGTCGACCCGACGCTACCAAACACTGCCATTTTTAAACCAATGGTGAACTCTGCTCTGACTGAAGGAAAGACAAAAAAAAAACAACCAAAACAGAGCAGTGATGGACCCACTCCTCCCCCCCAAAAAAACAAAAAAAAGTCAAAAAACACGTGCATGTAGAGCGACGGATGCAGCTCCGGTGCAGTCTGACGCCGGAGCGATCAGCTGCATGTTTGTGTGTCGGGTGTATGTGTGGACTTTTCTGGCTGCGGTGCCAAAACATGTTTCTCCAGAGCAGTTTGTATGTTTTTATGTCCGTTATTAACCCACAGAAAAGTCACACTGTTGTCAGAGTTTTAAAAAAAACAAACAGCTGAAGGCTTCTTTAAGTCACTGGAACACACTGGAGTTCACTCAACAGGGAAGACGGAGCTCTTCGTCCATATTCACTCATGTACTGACTGCTTGAACCACGAAGACCACTGAGTTTTTGTTTGTCGCTGTGACTAGTTGTCGATGCACTTTGATTTAACCGTCTCGTCTCGCGTGTGAAAAAGGGAGAAGTTTGTCTGTTAAAGTTGGAAGGTTCAGCCATAAAAACGGGACTTTGCTGCATTCAGAGTTTCTTTCCTCCTCGTTCAGATCAAAGCTCCGTAGTGAATGTGAATGCGGCTCATGTCCAGAAGCACCTTAGAGATTTTAGCGCTTGTCTACACGAGCTGGACGGTGTCGGTTTAATCCAGGACAAAGCTGGCCTTTTAATCTTGAGGGAAATCTTTTACATTTTCTGTTCTGTTGTGATTTTGTTTGTCTCCAACATCTGAGGACATTTATCTTTGTTTCCCAGTTTGTTAAAGGATGGCTTCACATTTTATCTTAAGACAACAGTCAGGCGTAAACTTTGAAACCGGTTCTACTGGCTGCCGTCGTTCTTCTGCTCATAGCAGCGTTGACCCTCTGAACTCTGAGCAGCTTCTGCCTCGTTTTTCACTAAACAGAATGAAGGAGGAGAGACGGCTCAGTTTCACACAGAATGACACAAATCATAAAACTGAAAAGTCCTGGAATCAGCATGCCCAACATTTTTCCACAGATGTGACAACAGGAGAACAAATGGAGGCTTTACATCCTATAGATGTTTAACTATTTATAATTTATCTCCACACTCGTAAACACATCCTGCAGGTCAGAACTTTTCTTGTGAGACCACAGCAGAGTCACTGACTGCTTCACAGTTCTGCTGAGGAGCACAGAGTGTTTAGTTTATTACATTTAATCTGGTTAGAATGAACGGCTTGTTTTTAGCGAATCTGTAAATGACACGTGATTTACAGTGATGTTGACAGTAGATCACAATTTCAAACTTAGACTGATTTCCCAGAATCACACATAATTAGTTTAAGAACCTTCAGAAATTACACGCTTCTGTCTCTGATAAATGATGTCATTTCGGCAGGTTTTAGGGTTCAGAGGGTTAAAAAAATGTAATCAGATTTTCTCTAAAGCGATGGGGGTCAAAATCCACGTTCTGGTCTCGTACTACAAGGTTTGTTTGTTTTTTTAATGCAAGAAAGTCCAACTAGTATGTTTATGAGAATTTTGGTCTTTTTAGTTAAAAATTTCCTCTTTTTTTTGTGTTTTGTTGCTCAGCGTTGCCTCGTAGAGCCGAGCCATTTATCAATGTTCTTCATATAAACAGGATGTTATAGTTACTAAAAAAAAAAACACAAAATTAAGATTTTTTTCAAATATAAACTCCAGCAGTGTTTTTACAAAAGAGTGAGCAGCAGGACAGTCGGAGCTTCAAACTGTGGCTACTCCGTTTCTAAGCATCTTTTTCTGCATCAGTTTTGTTTTCAGACTGACATACATGTCTGTGACGTGACAGGATTGGTCGGCTGTTACTCAGAGAATTCTAACTTTAAGGAGATATTTTAATATTGGATGATTTTTTTGCTCGATTTTGTCCCCCGTCGCCGACGTTAAGAAGGGAGCTCTTCATAGATCAGACAAGCTGTGAATCCATCCTTTAAACTTTGAAACTGACACAGTTATGAGTAACTCTGTGTGATCAGAGCTTTACAAACAGCATTACTGAACTTTGTTTAGGGATACGATGGAAGCTGCACATCCAGACGGAGCTCAGTCCCCAAAAAACAAATCATTTCTTCAAGAGCAGAAGGTTAATCTGAGGGCTGTCTCTTCTTCTGCGAGCAGATTATAAGAATAATTCAAACAGGACGCAGCAGGAGGTTTTATTCCTCCTGTTTGCAGTCGGAGGTGTTGGCTCGACGCCTCCCAGTGGAAGACTTTAACCAAACCAGACTCCTCCCGTAACACCTCGCTGTGCGATCGCTTTGCATGCAGGACGTGAAGCTGCCCCACGGATCCACATTTTGAGCCACTGTTCCTTTGGGTGTTGATTCAGTTCAGCCTGAACTCTGTGAAATAAGCTACAATCACTTTCTTTATCTCTCCAGTGAATCTTTCCGGCAGTGTTTAAGTCCTGTGTGAGTAAAATCAAGCGCACCCAAGTGCCAACTCTGTAAAATCTGTTGAACACGTTCAGATCCTGTCACGTTCTTCTCATGTTTCTTTGCACAACCGAATCGCTGACTCACTGTCATTTGATTGTTTCCCAGAACCTCATCTCAGCGTAATTTTTCTGCTTATTTAACGCGACGGAATCCAGCTTTTCTTCTGTTACGTTCACTAGTCGTCTTTGGGATTTAGTGGAAAGTGAATTGACCTCGACTCCGATGAGTCCACTGTGAAGGCAGACGGAGAACACGTGGAGCAAATGAAGGGGCTTTGATTTGTTCTGTTTGTTTTTTTGTTTTAAACGAGTTTTTAGTGAAGGATCACCCCTTCCTTTCTTTCTGTGACCTGATGCAACTGGATAATCTGTAAATTAAAATAAAATGTTTTGGTTTGAGTTTTCTGATCTAAACAAAGACTTCAGTGGCAAAAAAAATCACTTTTCTTACTGCTGGGGAACACATTTAGGATGAGAGGTTGTCACGGCAACATGTTTCTGTCTATATGAGATGAAACTGGTCACCTGGAAGCTTTTTATTTTATGTTCTTGTAAATTTCTGAGCTCAGTAAATCAGACGCCCACGTGTTGCTGCAGCGATCAGATCACGTTATTGTCTCTCAGTTTGCCTCCTCGTCAGCTTTTATCAGCACATTAACCTTTGCTGCTCCATTAACACTGTTTGAAGACTCTGGGGTCCATAACCGAAGCCTTTTATCATCACTCCTCTTGATTCATTTCCTGATGGAGCCGAGGTCAGTCGACATTTTCCATCTTTGACTGTAGAGGGCTGACGACTGACAAACAAGTAGGAAAGATGATTTTAGAGAAGATTTTAAAGTTTTTGTTGTGTTCTATATGTAAAAGCAACTGAAATGTCCCTTTAAAAGAGGCCAGAAGACACAGAATTAGTTTCCTGCCTCTCAAAATTTAAAGATTTGCTCATTTTCCAGCTTTTATATTGGATTCAATAACATGAAGAAAAAAACGAGACTTTAAAATCCTATTCTGACAAATGTGAGTCACAATTTTAGTGGGAATTGTATTTTTTCTAAACTTTTACCACTAAAAAAAAATATTTTAAAGATATTATTTTTGCTGCAGTTGGTACCAAACATGTTGACCTGTCTTCAGAATCTGATTTGCAGGTGGAGTCATCTCTGTAGTATTTTAGATATTATATTTATTACCATATTGTCCTTCCATCCATCATCTCTACACCTTCATCCTCACTAGGGTCATGGGGGGCTGGAGTCTATCCCAGCTGACTCAGGGTGAAGGCAGGTTCACCTGGACAGGTAACCAGTCTATCACAGGGCTACACTTAGAGACAGACAACCAAGCACACTCACATTCACACCTACGGACAATTTACAATCACCAATTAACCTCAGCATGTTTCTGGACTGTGGGAGGAAGCTGGAGAACCCGGAGAGAACCCACGCTGCATGGGGAGAACATGGAGACTCCACGCAGGAAGATCCCAGGTGTCCTCACCGGGACGTGAACCAGCAACCCTCTAGCTGTGAGGCGACGGTGCTACCCACTGAGTCACCTTGCAGCCCCACCATATTGTGATAATGCTTATAATTAGTCATACTTCTGTCATTTTAAACTGAACATGTTTGGGTTTGGGGATGTTGGTTGGACAAAAGAAGCTACTCTGACATTTTTTCATTAATAGAAAAAAAAAATAACTTAAACTTTCCTCTTTTTTTCTTTTTTTTTAGCATATTTACACTTTGTGTGCATAAGAGTTATTTTCTAACATGACAGGTATGTCAAAAAAATTATAATTGCAATTATTTTTGACAGATTTTACAATATGAGCCATGATTTTATTGGTATTTTTTTATACTAAAGACAAAAAACATTAGATTGCTTGATAATGATGATAATTTATAATGATCAGTTGCTGCATCCTTAATTTGAATACATTTATCCTGAACATTGCTTCTTCTTTTTTTGCACATGAGCGCTGTATAATGACAGTTGGTGACACATTTTTCCTTCATCATAAAACCACAGCTCCTATGATTTGGATAATCTATGCTGCAATTTCAGTACTAACGCTGTTTTAAACTGAACATCGTTGGGTTTAAGGCTGTCGACTGGACAAAAGAGAAGCTGCTGCTCTCTGATCACATCATTATTTCATTATCTGACCAAAAAAAATTTGACTTTTGCTTGATAATAATACCAGTCATTAGCTGCATCATTAATTTGATTAAATTCATTCTTGCTCTGTTGTCTGCAGAAGTCCTACACATGTGAGTTTTTTTTTTTAACATTACAAATGTGGCCAAAAAAAACAAACAAAAATGCAATAATTTCGACAGATATGGCGAAATTTTTTGTAAAGACTAATAATAATAATAATAATAATAATAATAATAATAACATTTGGTTACATTCTTAATTGAAATGATTAAATGATTGAATTAATTCTGAGCTGTGCCTATTTTTGCACACTAGCTTTGTCTAATGATAGTTCGTGACTTTCTAAAGCTCCTGTTTCAGTAGTATTGCTGTTCTAAACTAAAGCTCTTTGGGTTTGAGGCTGTTGGTTAGTTCAAACTAAAAGCTGCTGCCCTCTGACTACATTATTCCATTCATAGATCTTGACACTTGTAATCAGCTCCAGTAGCTGCATCATTCATTTGATTAAATTCCATTTTCTTGCACTGTTTTGTGCATATTTTTCTGCAGGTGTGACTGTTGTTTTTTAGCATTACAGGTGTGGAGCAGGAAGCTGGAGTGAGCGCACTGCAGCCAACATGTCCAAACACGCCCGATCTGCAGAAGGGCGCAGCTCCGATCATGTTTCCTGCAGAAAAGCGAGCTGCAGACAGAAGGAAGCCTGTGTGACTTCTGCTTCGTCTGCTCCACGGCGGTGTTTCTGCTGCATGCTGATGAGAGGAAACACGGCAGATAATTCGCGTGTTTTTCCTCGTTTCGCTGCTTCGGTCTCGCGCACTCCTTATATGGGAAAGGAATTAAGTTGCGCGAACAAGGGCGGAAACGCGGCGCGGTGACAGCTGGGTAAAATCCTCCGACATCCAGGAAGAAGGCGACGAAGCCCAGTCTGCTCGGCGACCTGCTCACTGCACACTCCCTCGGCGAGATAACGGACCAAATCACTGCTTGACCAGGTGAGCAGGTGAGCTTCATGCGGTTGGTTTCGCGGTTCGTTTACCGGAGCGGAAAAAAAAACAAAAAGAAAAACATGAAGCGAAACGGAGCCGCAGCGCGCCGCCGCTCCGTCCGCGGCACCGAATCATTCACAAATTATTTATTGAAATCGGTGTGATGCTAACGGAGCCGGTTAGCCTCGGCTGCTGCACCGTTTGTCCGCCTGACACAGACTTTGAACGGTTACGGTTTTTGCTAAACATCCGCCGTCACTTCTGCTTTCTAGCCGAGCGGACGTCGGCTCGCTGCGATGTGTTTTAGTGCAGCAGCGTTAGCTAACAGGGAGGGTGTGTGTGAGGGGAAAATCCAGGAAATACCGAAACAGACAGCAGACACTCAACGACAGGCAGCCACGAATAACCGACGCCGGAGAGCTGACTCACCGTGTCTCGGTCCGGGACGCCAGCATCGTCCAAACATGGACAGTTTATCCGGAGCAGCTAGCTTCCTTATTGTTGCCGATGGTGTTGTGACATATTTAGTATCCCCATGAACATGTTTCCTCATCCCTGAAAAAGCTTTGTTTTACATGTGAACGTTTTTATTAAGAAACGCATTTTATTTATTAGAAACTGCAGCTCTTAGTCCCTCACATTTAACCAGGGTTTGACTCGGAGCTGACAGTTTGTGGGCTAACGGGGGCCGAACTTGCTCGGGACACGGAGTTCTGCGCTACACCCACCGGCTCCGCTAGCTCGCCAGCTAGCTTTAGCCGCTTTTAGCATCCCTGATTGGAACCCGGTGATCCCATTATCAGCAGCGGCTTGGACTTGATTTGTCTGAGCCCACCGGAGGAGCTCTGTGGCGGAGGTCAGAGCTCACCGGCCCGGCTGTGGCCTACTTCCCCCCCTCTGCAGCGGCTAAGAGGTGTGTTTCTGCGGCTATTCCGTCAGAAAAGAGGCTAGAAACGCTGAGCTGGACGCTCCCTCCTTTATGTCTGCACGTCTGGCCCCGAGGCGGAACACAAGCCCTCCGTCAGGCCTAACCCACTTCACCGGCCTGCACGCATTTCTGCCATATGTCCAGCAAAAGTAGGTCTGCTGGCAGGGTTTGCATCGTGCAGATAAAGCTGCAATATAAAAGAAGTAAATAGAAAGGCGTTGACATGCTGGTGGTTCAGCCCAGATCAGCAGTCTGTGGATCCTGACCTGATTGTTGCACCATTTTCCAAAGTCTTTGCTTTAAAGCAAACTCAAACAGACTTGTGCAAAAGCAGTTTTAACAAAGAACAATAATAAAAGCTTTACATGAGAACTAGAGGCATGTGAGATCCATTGAAGTTCACGCAATGCAATTAAAAATGTCACAGGAATGAACAGGCCTGTTAGAGAAATGGGACCTTAAGGCATTTTAAAGCTGAGCTGCTGTGAGTGTGGTTCTCTGGTGGACATCCTGCATCTCTCCTGGTTTCTCATGTGATGTCAGCTCACCTGCTGCAGCACTTTTATTTATACAGTGCTGCTGACAACACAGGACAGCAACCTGAATAATGTTCACATTAGCAGAGCATCAGTCGGCTCTTTGGGCTGTTTCTGTAGCTGATAGTCATAAATATCCAGAGAAAAGTTTGAATCGGTGCTTACAATACATGCTTTTAACTTGAATCACGGTTGCCCTGTTTTACTTTTTATGTCCACTTTTGTTTGGAAATATAAACAGACTTCTGCAAAATATATTTTAAACAATAGGAAAGAATTTAAAATAAGCACAGAGGCGTGTCTTCTTCATACTTACAACAACTTGACCTGTTGCAGTCTGATAGTAAAAATAAATGTAAATTTGTCCAGTGAGGGATCGTTAGAGTTAATATGATCTTGAGTAAGTCTTTCCATCTTAAAGGATGTCGTGCAAATCGTCCAGTCTGGGTTTTGTTGTTGTAATCGGCGTCCCCATAAATATAAAGTGGATGTCAAGCATTAGAAGTACTTTCACCTGATGTTAGCTCACTGAAACGCTGCGTTTGTACTCTGAACTGGATGTTTAATCTCATGAACCTCGTGTCAGCTGCATCGTTTTCACGTTATTTCGGAGTCTAATGAATACAAGATGTGCTCTCAGCAAAGTAAAGTCTTTCTTTCTCTACTTTGCCCACATTGACGCAGCGATATATGTCGTGGGATTCCTCGTTTTCATCCGTTTTAGTTGATAATCTGGGTGACAGACCCCACAAATAGTCCAGCAGAAGAAATGCAGAGAAGATATTGTTCACCTATAAAACCTCAAATAATACAGCAGCTTACAGTAAAACAATCAAGTAGGTTTTCATGTTATTGAGGCCAGCTTTTGTTATATATAGTTATGTAAAACATCCATATGCATAATAAATCACTGCTGCAGATGTCATGTCAGGTGGAGACCCAATAGTTAGCGGTTTAATATGGCTGTATTTGTTATACTTTAATGCTAAAGTTATTATCAGTTGTTATGGTTGAATATTGGTTGGTTATCATCTGCCTCCCTGATCAGAATTAACTCGCTTTGAGCTGCTGTAATCTGAATCATAAGGCAACGGCCAACTTTTTCTAAAGTGCAGTTTGAGGCGTGCACCCTTCAGAAGACAGCAAATGGATCTTAACCGACTCATTTATTGTCCCTCCATCAGATACAGACTAAGGCTGGTCTGACCACAGGATGTGATGAATGCTTCATTAACTGTGGAGCAGAAATGTTGTCGGTCAGAAATGTCGTCTAAATGGTGATGAAGCTGATGGAGTAAATGGAATCTAACAGTGGGAAGCTCTGTTTCTCAATCTGGCAAAAACAAAACAAAACAAAAACCATGATTGCACTCACATGGAAGCAGCTGGCTTTTGTAGTTTGTTGTAGATGTTACTCAGACTGGAGTAAATTCCTCATTTATTGGGAATTATTTCCGCCTACACATGTTTTTACACCAGCGGTTTGGTTGATGTGACTTAAAGCGGTCTGCGGTGTCCATGCTGGTGTGATTCAGTGCAGCGTTCAGGCTTACTGGTGTGTCTTCAGTCGCTGTAAACGCGCTCAGCTGTTTTCCTCAACTCTACTTAAGCTGTAGACTTTGCTTCCTTCACCTCTGGAGCTACAGCTGCCCTTCAGCCGGCACTTTCCTCCCCTTTCACACCGCTTTAATCTGAGGAAAATGTTTCTGAGGGCTGCTCTCATGTCTGTGGAAAGTTCTCTCTTCTTCGTCGACCGATTGATTGATTGATTGATTCTTCGGTCAGCACTCGGCCAGAACACACGTGGTGGCTTCGCTTTAGTGCGTTTTAAGGACAGAAGTGTTAAAGCTGAGCTGCAGTGTTTCCAGTGAAGTGTCTCTGTTACAGTTTTGTACTTCAGCGTTGGTAAATCGGTGTTTTGAGCCGCCTGCCGGACCCTCAGGCGCCGGTTTTCTGGTGTCGGTTGCTCTCGAACACCTTCAGGGGCGACTCCCTTCCTGTGTCGCAGGTGAGTCAGCGCTCAGGTGAGACCAGGAAGTGCCGAAGTCTGAGATCAGCAGGTATAAATGCTGCTAAGACAATGTAGGCCAAGGGCAGAGTGTGTGTGTGTCCTGCTGTGATCCAGTTCATCTCCAGAGAAGTTAATTTACAACTGAATGGGTGCAGCAGGAAAAAGGAGACGTTTAGAAACTGAGATACTGTGTTTGGACTTTGTGTGTCTTTCTTTTTGTTTTCACTGTGTCGTCAGTCTCCTTGTTGTTGATGTAATAGTGCTGATAACACATTTGCCAGCCTCAGGACTTAATAACGCTGCTCATAAGCTGCCTTCAGCTCCCATTATGCTGCTTATTAATACTGGCTTCAGTCAGAAGTGTGAGTCATGACACATGTCAGCCTTCGGGGTGTTTTGTTAGCCTGCTGTGACTAGAAATCTGGATTGACTCTGTGTGCATTGCATGGTTTCAACCTGAACAAACGATCTGATGCAGCTTTACAATAACAGTGGAGAGTGAAGCTTTTTTTTTAGTTCCAGGGTAAATATTTGCCTTCTTCATCAACCTGATTAGCTTTTTTTGATCAGTTATTTAGGACATTGTTATAGGCGAATTATGAAAAATCAGGAAAAGAAGTTTCTTTTTTCATGTGAACAGAATCCAGAAAATGAAAAATACTCACAAAACTAAAACCAGAGTTTTTAATAACAGATCATCAAAATAGCTGCAGATAAATTTAGGACCAAACTAATCATGTCGGCAACTTCTCCGTCCTGAATATTAACGTGGAGGCAACATTTCATCTTCATTTTCTCAAGAACAAGCGTCAGTTTGCAGGTTTTCAGAAGCTGTTGATAGTTTCAGTCGAGGTAAATAAACTTGAGGCTTTATTTTCTTGATAACCTGTCAAATTGTTAATTTTTCTATTTAAACCATGAGCTGTCTGATCCACCAATAAATAACTGACTGATCAGGTACATGACAACATTTCGTCATTAGTTTAGTTCATGAGTTCTTTTAGAAGCTGACTTTATGAGCCACTCCTTGTTTAGTTTGATTTACAAATCGATTTTCCATCTTCTGTTGCACATATTTTTGTGGCTGCTTGACTTAATAACTTGTACAGCGCTTTAATGGACTTAAAACTGGTTTATATACATAAATACGATTGGATAGAATAATCTCTGAATTATTATTATTTGTCAGAAGGTCAAAAATGTGCATCTCAGTCTAACTGATGACCCAAAAGCTGCAAAAACCCAAAACCTGTGAAGCTGTTTTTGCTTGAAAAATGTTCACTGATCAAAATACTGGCTGAATAATCTTCTTACTTTTTGAAAATTGTAATTATTTTTGCACGGTTTTGGCTCGTTTCCTGCCTTTTGTTGGAGCCAGAAAGCTTCGTGCAAACCGGCCTTTAGCTTCCCCTGTGACAGCCAGCGACGTTAGCGCCTCCTCAAGTCACCGGGTACGTCCAGACTTCGCTGCCTCTGTAGTGAAAGTGAGCCGGCAGCAGCGGGTTTATCTTCTCATTAGTGAGAGTGGCCACCGTCGGCCAGGTGTAAGTACCTGAGACAAACTCTCAGCCGGCAGGTGAACGCCGCGTTGGGTTTCAGACGTCTTATGTAACGCTAGCCCGCCTCATTAGGTGTGTGACTGCACCTGAGTGACTGGAAGCTTACGTGGACTCCGATTCAGGTTAGTTAATCGTGTCCTCGACTGGCTCGGACGCAGCAGGACTTCAACTCGCCGTGTAACGTGCTCGCATGTTTAAAAGGCATAGCTGGAATATCGAGGCAGGTCTTCTGTCTGCAGGAACACGTGGAGAGCTGCATACTCAACAGGTTGTGGCCTGCACACAGCCGCCGCCTTATTACTCAACCGCTCTGAAGGAGGAATTCTGAGACTTTTTTCTGCCCTACAGGCGACCAGTGGCCTCCTTGAAGTGTCACATTTACACATTTCAAAGAGTTTATCGTCATCTGGAGCAGTAAAAGTTTAGGGATGCAATAACATTCACAGGTTTGATTAACCTGCTGCTCAAATACGACGACACAAGAACCGTGCAAAAAGTTCTACACTGGAAAGAAAGTGTAGAAATAAAATGCACGTGCAGAAAAAGTTAAGGTCTGCTCACACAAACTGAGGGAGGTCATGTGCAAAACAGTTCTTCTTTATATTCAGTATTAGCTGCTTTTTATTTATTGTCATGCTTTTTCTGGTTTGCTCTGTGATCCTTACACCAATGTGCACAAAATAACCGTGCAGAACATTTGATGTCGGCTCAAAGTGCAGAGTGATGAATGTGATTTTGTTTGTTTGTTTGTTTTTGCACACAATGAGATGAGTTAAGAAAACATCAGGCTTCAAGATGAAACTGAAGAATCTAATGTTGATGGACAGGACAGATGAGCAGAAATACGGTGCTTCTGCAGCACGACTTATTTTTTTTGTCCTTTTTAATCTTTCTGAAGTATTAATCGGGGATTTTTTCCTGCAGGGTTTTTCAGAGGATGCAGGCCAAACCGATCCACCAGCTCCTAAGATTAAGCGCTCGACTGAGGTTAATACTGTTGTGGGGTCTTAGCGAGGGCAGCCGCCACTGTTTTTCTATCAATTAATCAACTTTTTTCTGCCCCAAAACGTCGACCGACAATTTAATTTAAGCGCGCTTTGCTTTGGCAAACTGTTTGCCGTGGCACAGAACTGCATGTCAACACAGTGGATGTGCTGAATAACGGCTGAAATAAACGAGTTTTTGGAGAAAACACTCAGAGCAGGACAGGTTTGCAGCCTGCACATTTTACCTGTTTACATCAGACGTTTGACAGTTACACATTTCAGTCACGGTTTCTGGCTCCAGTCACTCCAAAGGCGAGGAGCACCGCTGTTGTTACCTGACCAGAGAAGCTAATTTTTAATTGCAGTTTTCTTTCTGCGTGTCCCAGGTGTAACGGCGTCCCTGATTAGAAGGCTGGAACAGAAAGTACCGCCTCGCCTCGTGGCCTCAGAACAGCTGACCTCGCAGCAAACACAAAAACATGCAGACAGATACGACAGATTGCGTCTGGTTTGAGCAGAAAGTGACCTGTGGATGCGACCGAGCCTCTGTTGAACGCGTGATGTTTTCTGAAGTCGTTTGGACGGCGCAACAACGAGCTTTTAATGAGATGCTCCTCATTAGAAGCTTAACACAATCCCTTAATGAGCAGCAGTGGGACGCTCGAGCTGCAGCGACGAACAAAAAGCAAATTACAAAAAAACAGTCTTGCAGTGACTCGGTGGAAATGTGGAATAATTTTTAATTCTGCAGCTACTGACGAAGAGACTGAACGCGAGCTTTACTTGATCTCAGAGCTAATTCTAACATATACTGCGTACAAGCGAGTGTTTCTATGACGTGCATCGTCCTGCGTAGGCTTCAAACAGTGTTAAATCCAGTTTCATCGGTTCTGACGAAAATAGTTTAATGTGACGGAAATCTTTCCAGATTCCTAGAATGTCAGAGCAGAGGTCAATTCATGATTTGAACGTGAAACATGTTGAACGTAAAGATGGGCTGAAGGACGGATAACCAGACTGTTACTTACTCGGTAATTTTCGACAATAATTTACTTTAATAAATATATATTAAGTTTAATTATTATCCGATAAGGCAGAAGACAAAGTACGTCTGTTAGAAAATGTATTGCAGATTAGCTGTGACGCCTGGTTGTGCCACCAGGTGGAGCAGTGACCAGAGGAGGGGCTAGAGATGCAGTTTTTTATTTTTTTACTTTCTGAACCAATAGTCAGCAGCGTTATTATATACAATAAGTACAGGATGTGTAATGTGCTGTTCTTTTTAAAACACGGCTACGTGACCTCTATGACAATAATGACCCGCTCACGTCGTCCACTAAGCAAATGAAGCACCGCCTGAGTAGAATCAGACTTGAGTTGAGCCTTTTTTCCCCACAGAAGTCTTTGCCATGAGCTGATGTTGTCTTTCAGGCGACGTACGTGTGATCTGAGCCAATAGGGCAGCTCTCCTCCCGCCGTGGTATAAGAGCTCCGTCACAGTTGATCCCAGTCCCTTTTGATCACATGAACTCTGGTTGGAGGTCCTGAACCTCTTCAGAGTCTCTGTCATGGTCCCATTGCTGCTAAACTCCCACAATGCTCTCTGCTGCCACCATGAGCTGTAGTCTGAGTGACGCCTGCTCTGGTCTCCACAGTCCTTGATCTCGTTCAGATTAAAAGGCTCCAGTAACAGAACGTTGATAACAGCAGCTCTCTCACCCGTTTCTCCGTCTGACAGGTATGGCAGAGTTGGCGAGTCTGGTGCAGCGGCTGGAGGTGGCGGTGGGCCGTCTGGAGTCCATGTCGGGCCCTGGAGGCAGCGCCGGAGGTTCTGCTGGAGGAGGTACCGTGACCAGCGTAGACCCACGAACAACTCTAACAGACTCTAGCATTATTTAGCTCCACTAGCTCAGCATCTTGTTGGACTAGTTGAAGAAAAACTCAGACTAGTCACTCTTTTACAGCAACTAGTGTCACTTTGGTCTAACTAGTTCCAACAGAAGCCTGACTAGTGAACCCATGATCTGCACAAATAGCACACAAGTCCCAGCTAGTCAGTCATTAGTATTTGATCCCACTAGTAAACATTTTGGCTTTCACCAGTTTAACTAGTCAACATTTGTGACCTCACTGGTTGTGTAACTAGTGGATAGTTTGAATTTCACTTGTTGGCAAGTAGACAGCCTCAGTAGTTGTCGAATGAGCTCAAAGGAGGTTTTAACTAGTTTGCATTTTGGCTTTTATGTGGTAAACCAGTGAACTAAAAGAAAAAAACAAAAGTGAATATTTTAGCATCTCATTGGTAAACTAGGTTAGAAAGTTTTTTGGTCACTCGTTAACTCGTGAGATTAATTTAGTAAAGACTTTGAGCATCAGAAGTTGACTAGTGAAGCCTTTAACTGGTTAACTAGTCAGTGTTTTTGCTTTTATTAGTCCAACCAGTGAACATGTTGAACCTCGGTAGTTAAACTGGTGTGACTAGTTAGTGCTTTTGGTCTCACTAGTTAACTGCTACAGCAAACTGTAGGTCACTGGTTAGCTGAATGTCTGTCAGAGCTTTCAGTCCAGAGGGTCACTCGTGTCTAAACAACAGGCGAGTCGTGATGTTGGTGCTGTTAGTGCAGTGTGCTGGTTACCTGGTTGTCACCATCCACCAACCAGCTGTTAATGAAGCATTTTCTTTTGCCCATTAACGGAGGTGCAGATTGCTGTCGGTTAGAACCACCGTACTAGTCGCACACCAGACTTTAAAACTTCCAGATGAATTTTCTGACTATTTTAACCAAATTTGAATCTGAATTTGAAGTTCCTGGTTTTCTTCTCAAACCTTTGACTGTCTGTTGCCGTCTCCAGCTGTGAGCGCCTTCGTGGAGGCCTTTGACGAGATCATCAGCGGCCCACTGGCTCAGTACCTGACCCTCAGCCAGCAGATCGGAGGCGACGTCCAGAAACACGTAGGTCACAAACTCTGACACTGTGTGTTTTAGTGGAACTGAAAAATCAACCAGAAGTGTTACAAGCGTTGAGTTTGGCGCCTGCATGTTGTTGCTCTTCCAGGCAGAAATGGTGAAGCAGGGATTCATCAACCAGAGACAACTCCTCCTCACAGCCTCGTCCTCCCAGAAGCCCTCTGATGTGAGTGAACGAGAACCCATCAATCAGATAACTGAGTTTATGAGCTGCTTTATAGACAAATAATAGATCAGTTATGTGCCTTCCATCAGCCGGGAAAATCTAAAGTTTTTTTTTTTTAAAACAATTAAGCTTTTGTGTTTTTGTGCATCTGTGAACCTTGAAAAAGAAGTTGTGTTGAAGAAAAGTGTTCGCTGCAGTTGAATTATCCATTTGTAAAGAGTTTTTTTTTTTTTGTCATTCTCAGACTGAAACAAAAGAATGTTTGAGTCGAAAATCTTTTTTTTTTCTTCCCTGCAATTGAGCTTTTGACAATCTATCATGTGAGTAAAAGGTTTAACCATGAGATGTGTCATTGTGCACAAGACGAGGGGTATTTCTATCTAAGCACCTCTGATCTTTGGAAATAAAACGTTCATCTGGGCAACTTGGAATGATCCCGTCCTGCTTGAGCCAAATTCAGGCATAAAAAAGAAAGGGGTGTTGAGGAAAAATAAATATAAATGTTGCGGAAAAAGGATTTTTTTTGGTCAGATTTTGTTAAATTTTTGCACGTTTTTAAACTAGTAAAAGTTTTAGACCTTGTAAAACTGGTCGAAGGATCAAAGGATCTGTGTCTTCTTGTCTCCCGTCAATCAGTTGTAAAAGTCTGTTGAATTATCCAGAGTTTTTTTTTTAAATTGTCGGTGTGCACAAGAAGGCATCGGGCTGGTTTTCACCATCTGCCTTGTGAGTAAAAGGTTAAACTGGGAAACTTGTCGTCTTGTCTCCCCTCCAGACCGTTTCAGGCAGAGAAAGGAGAGATGCTGAAGTTCTGTAAAATAATTTTGCACAATAAGTCATTAGACTGAAACAAAAGAATGAAAGAAAACTCTGACTCCAGTCACTGATCTCTGGTCTGTTCTCCTCCAGACGGTTCTCACCAGCCTCCTGCAGCCGGTGTCCAAAGCCATCCAGCAGGTCCAGGCGTTCCGCGAGCAGAACCGCAGCTCGCCGCACTTCAACCACCTCTCCGCCGTCAGCGAGAGCGTCCCCGCCCTCGGCTGGGTCGCCATGGTGAGTCCGGTTGGTGCGTTGCTGGGCCGTGTGCATGCGTGGATGGACGGGTGAATGAACGAGCAGACGACAGCCGGAAACAAGCCGCTCTTTGATTCTGCTGACGGTTTGTTGGCCGACGTGAGCCCAGCAGCGACAGAGCGGCTCTGTTGCTGCTGATGATGAACTCATTGTTTGCTGTTGCTGTGACTCTGATGAATAAAACAGCAGCTTTTCAGTGACACATAATAGACGCATTCATCGTCCTGCTGCTGTTTCGCAAACAAGTCCTCAGAAACTTTGCTGCTGTACACATGCTGCAGGAATTCACTTGACTAGAGCTGGATCAGAAGATTTATTCACTGATTACTGTAATCTCTGGACTACTGGGGCACCTGAATATCAGCCACACCCACTGACTCTAAAAAGAAAACCAGGTGTGTTCATATCCAGGCTGCACTGGTCTCTAAGCTGCAGGTGTCCACGTTGGAACATGAGATATTTACACAGAAAGATGTTTTAACCTTTAATTAAATACGTAGCGGTAACGTACACAGATACGTACCGTAGAGGCTTTTTTCTGAACACTTCCTGTAACACGGCTGGTTAAGGAAATAAAACTCCAGCAGCTACCAGGAAAAGTCACTGATGGCTATCTTCATCTTCCTCCTGCACTAAAACCACTAAAGTCGTCTTCTTCAGTGTCTTCAGGAGCTGAACAGCCTCAGAATCACTTCATCACTTCCTCAGTCTCTCTGTCGTCGTCGCTCTCAGCCTCACTTTGGTCTCGAGGTGAATTCGTACAAATCCATAAATTAGCCGCATCGTTGTTTAAGCCGCAGCATTCAAGGTGTGTGAAGAAAGTAGCGGCTTATAGTCCAGACATTGCGGTAATACGTTCACGTCTTGTATTTTCAGTCATGTTAAAGTAGATGTTGTGACCCAGAGTAGTTGTTTCCTCCAGTTTGCAGTCTTGATGTAAAGTTAATTCAGCCAGAAATTATGAAAACAGAAAAAACAGTTCGCTTTCTGACTTTCCAGCGGCCCTCTGTGGCGCCGCGTCCGGTCGGGAAACCGGTGAGATTTCATCAAAATCGCTTTATTCTATATGTCGCGTTAAAAAATGTACCTAGAAAATGTTGACACGAAGCAGGTTTTGTGGAAAACAAAAAGAATGCAGTGTTCATACAGAGCAGAGAGAAGAAACAGCATGGAGACGAATAAAACTCTAAATACAGCTGAAACCAGAAGTTTACATCCACTGTAGAAGAAGACATAAAACCTTTTCTTTCTCACTATCTGACATTAAATCAGACTGTTTCAGCTCAGTCAGGATCACCAACATTATTTCTATTTGCTAAACGCCAGAATAATGAGAGAGAGAATTTTTTATGACTTTCTTCAGAGTCAGAAGTTTACATCCACTGACTATGTGGGAAAGGCCAGATGATGATGTCATGGCTTTGGAAGCTGCTGATAGGTTAACTGACGACATCTAACTGGAGGCACACCTCAGACACGACAACGTGGAACATCTGAAGAAATGATGCATCTGTGATTGTTTGCAGGCTCCTAAACCGTGTCCCTACGTCAAAGAGATGCAGGACGCTGCCATGTTCTACACCAACCGTGTGCTCAAGGACTTCAAGGAGAAGTGAGTGACGCTCCATCACATCCACTTTCTGTTTTAGAAGCACAACGAAGTGCTGCGTTTAAACTGTGTCGTATGTTTTAGAAACCTGTTAACGTCCGACAGAATAAAAGGGCGAGAAGGAGCTTTTAAACGCAGCCAGGCCATCCTCTCAGCCCATCTGTCCTCCGTGTTCCCCGTGGTTTTCCTGAGTCAGCGCTGACGCATGCTGGTCCTGTATTTAAACTTTTAAAAATAAAAAAAGCCTTTGTGTTTTGGAAGCAACTCGGAATGAAATTGGCCTCGTTCACGCTGAGCAGTTCGTATTTAAATGTCTACGCAGTGGATTGTAAAACGAATACAGAGCAGGCAGCTGGTGCAGAAAGAAACCTGGAAACAAGAAGAAATGTCGCGTTCTATTTTAAGGAGTTAATCTCCGGTTCTGCTCGGTGCATGCGAAGCAGAACAAAGAGAAGGAAGAATAAAGAAACATGAAGTCGTGTGTGTTGCTTGCAGGGATAAGACGCATGTGGACTGGGTGAGGGCCTACATCAACACCTGGGCCGAGCTGCAGAACTACATCAAACAGCACCACACCACCGGACTGGCCTGGAGCAAGAGCGTGAGTTTCCTCCAGAGTCTCTCTGACGGGTCGCTTCAGACGGCATGTTGCTGCACAGAGGTTATTTACATGTCCTTTAGGAGCCAAAGCGAAGTTCTGGACGATCTTTTAGCAATTTAATGTTTTCAGACCTTTTGAATGTTTTTATTTTTACCCTCAAAAAACTCCGTCTTACACGGAAACCATTTCAGGGGTTTAATACCTCCAGAAGATTAATTCCTCCACTAATGAAATTCTGACCTGACTTTTTTTTTTTTACTTAAGTTATGAACCTACAAAAAAAATCTATCTGTGAGCAAGCTTGTTTTAAATAGTTAATTTTATTTGTGTTTTTTGTGTTTTTAATTTAATTTTTATTTTTTTAGTTTCTGTTTATTTTCTTTTATGTGTGTATTTAGTGTTTAAATGTTTGTTTGTTTGTTTTTTTTATTTAGTTTTCTTTTCTGTTTTTTTTAAATTTATTTTAAAAAAAATAAATTTAGTCTTTTATTTTAATATTTCATTTTATTTAATGTTTATTACATTGTTTTTCTTTTTAGAATATATTTTATTTGCATTTTTTAATTACATTTTTAAGTTTCTGTTTGGATTTATTTTATTTATGTATTTTTATGTTATTTAATTTTTTTTAGTTTTTATTTGATTCTTATGTTTTTTTTAATGTATTTTTGTACGATTTTATCTTTTATATTATTTTAATATTTCATTTTATTTCATGTTTATGACATTGTTTTTTGGGGGTTTTTTTTTACAATATATTTCATTTAGTTTTGTTTCTTAATTTTATTTTTGCTCCAGAACTGTCTCTGTGCTGCAGTCGATCCACTGTTAACCTGAAACTCTGAATTTTAAGCTTTTACATGAAGAAAAGTTTCTACTTTTGTCCTTGGTGGACTTTAAAATGTCGAGTCATAGCAGCTGTCAGCCGACCAGTTTTCTGCGTTACAAATTAAACTGTGTTTCATGTTTTCTGGGTGTTCAGTCGTGCCGGTTGAATCGTGTGCTCCTGTTTCCGTCCTCAGGGTCCCGTGGCTTCGGCCTCTGCGGCTCCTCCCAGCGCTCCCGCCGGTGGAGCTCCTCCTCCGCCTCCTCCTGGACCTCCTCCTCCCCCCATGGACCTCAGCACGTCCGGCGGCGACTCGGGTTCTGACAATCGCAACGCCCTGTTCGCCTCCATCAACAAGGGCTCCGACATCACCAAGGGTAGGACTTTAATCCTCTCCACAGCTTCTGCCGGTTCTGGTTCCAGTCTGAGGATTTGGGCAGTTACAGGAACTCACAAGTCACCAAAAATAGGCTTTTTATATGAATTAATAAAGGTGAGACTCAAGAAAATCCCACGAAAAGAGACTCTTCTGGTCCCTCTCTTATGTTTGAATTGGATTTCTTCACCATACATTATAAAACTAACACAGAATAGAGTCGCTGTTTTCATCTTTAACTGCAGATCTTTAAAGTGCATCAAATGCAGGCAGAGCTGAGTCCATGGAGCTGTTAGCTGGATGATGAAAAGTTAAGACTCACCTCCGGCAATATTCCACATTTATGAACCTTTTCTTTGACTCATGTACGAAGCGAAACACGACTAAAGACGAGCAGAAAGCAGACGTTGGATCGGAGTCGTCTTCGGACTTTAGGACAGACTTTAAACTCGTTTCTGCCCAGTGGAGGCCGTGACTGTCGGCTGGGTTTTATTAGAATTTATTTTTTTTAAAAAAGGATGTTTTCCAGTTTGAGCAGATGACAGAGAAGAGCTGCTGTTTAAAGTTTCAGATGAAGCGAAACGTTTCTAATCTTAGAGTAAACCTTTAACTCGACAGATGCAGAAACCTGGTGAACAAAGAGAGTCGGATTCAGGTTTTGTTGACCTCCTGGTTCACCTGATGCTCCTCGTCAACACGTTTATTTCTCTTGTGCGTCGAGCTGTTAAATCTTCGCACCGCCGTCGTGCTTCTGATGTTTCCAGCTTCCAGACGATGTCGGCTACACAGTTTAAAAAAACAACAAAAAAACAGAAACGTTGACATGATTATTTACTGTCTTTACAATCAGACATAATTAACATATCTCGTCAACATACTGGCTTTAATTGATCTTTTAAATGTAAATATTGATTTCTATTCTTTGGTTTCTTTATTCAGATTGTTCCAGAAACTGATTCCTTTCACAGAGACACAACGCTCCGTCACGTTCACCTCGTTTAAATGTTGTTTAAACTGCGTTTGAACTGAGTTTAAATCTGATGAAGCGACTCTTGAACGCGTCGGTGAGTCTCCGTCTCTTTGCCCACTGCAGGCCTGAAGCACGTGAGCGACGACCAGAAGACCCACAAGAACCCGAATCTGAGGACTCAGGGGGCCGCTCCGGTTCGTACTGGACCCAAACCCTTCAGCTCCCCCAGCACCCGACCGGCCACCGCCACCACCCCCGCGACCCGCACGCTGCCCCCGGTGTTTGAGCTGGATGGCAAGAAGTGGAAAGTGGTGAGTTCTGTCTTTCTGTAGAGTTGCTTTAACAATAATGGAAACGCAGAAATCCCAGCTTCAGTCGAGTGGAAACAGGAAGTACTGAACATTAAACTAGGTCGTGTTACACTGATTCACTGGCTGCATCTTAAACAGACCTCAGTGCTGCAGCAGGCTGCTAATGAAGCACTTACAACACAAACATCTGTATTTTTGTAATATTCTCTCAAAAAAAAAAAAAAAAAAGTAAAAGTGTGTTGAAGTGCAGCGTTTAGAGAGACGCACTGTGCTGATGTGCAGTGAAAAAGGTTTGTGTGTTTTCTGGGACAAACACTAGAGTTTGGACGACTAATTAAAGTCATTAATCGACGACTAACAGAAAGTTCAAGTTCAAACCAAAGCGATAAATCTTCAAACTGACTTCATGTAAGAAACAAAGCTACGAGCAGGAAGGAAGGCGTTTACAGAGTGAAGAGAGACGTTCCTCTGGTTGGATAGGATTTGGGGAACTGCTGCCACCTGAAGGTCTGGCAGCTTATCAGTGTGCTGAACAGAACACCTGTGCAGGCAGGTGTGGAAGGATGTTTTTTCTAAAAACGAGGTGGTGTGTAGGGGGGAGGACATTCAGTTTTCTAAAAACCCTGCTACATGTGGACAAGGCCTGAGTCTGCGTCTCCACCAGCCGTCTCCTCTTCACTCGGTTTGTTCTTAAAACGATCCGCTACAGATCGCTTTACTCAGGAGCGCACAACAGCTACACGACTTGTTTGACACTTCAGGCAGGAACAGACTGAAAAGAGCCACGGCGAAGTGAAAACACGAGTTTCCACGTCGGTAGAGCGACGCCAGAACACCTTCATGATCATCGTTCACTCGCTCGAATGCCAGTTTGGTCTCCGTTTAAATCAGTCGGTGGGATTTTAAATCGACCGCAGAGGAGATGAAGACGTCAGACGGTCTCTGAAGCGAACACTGATGCCATAAAACTGCATTATTTCAGCAGTTTAGGTTATTTTCGTTTACGATTTGCACTTAAATTGAAAAAAAAATCATACGATCAAGTCAACAAGAAGAATGATAGTCGACCAGTCGGGCACTAACTAGTTAAAATCGATTCGTCCTACCAGCCTTAAGCACATGATACGAGCATCCTTTATTAATCCCAAAGCAGTGAAATCATTTACAGAAGTGCTGTTGATGTTATTAAAGGCATCGAAGCTGCTTTGTTTAACCAGAAAGCCGCCAGAATGAGTCGCTTTACTTTCATAAAACTGCTGATTTTTTTTACCAATGTCTCGTTTCTGTATGTGCTCCAGTGTTCTGTCCTGATTTAAGCTGACGTTCTCTGGTTTATTTATTTTCTGTGTTTTCACGTGGTTTCGGCGTGCAGGAGAACCAGGAGGGAGCGCTGAACCTGGTGATCAGCGACACCGAGCTCAAGCAGGTGGTTTACGCTTACAAGTGCAACAAGAGCACCCTGCAGGTCAAAGGCAAGCTCAACTCCATCACCATCGGTAAGGACACACAGATGGCCGCTGCTGGGCCAGAAACCAGTACAAGGTGCTGGTTAGAACTTTCTCTGGGTCGGATGAACTGGGTTACTATTTCTGACATGAGGTCCATGCAGGAATAGCAGAAAAGAAATCCAGAACGTGCCTGAGAATCATCACATCTGCAAGACGTTGTTCAGTAACGCAGTCAGACGTCAGCTGCTAACGGCTAACTGTGCTAGTTGTTCATGTTCCGGTTGAGCAGAACAATATTATTTTTATTATTATTATTTTATCCTATTCTAAATCACTTCATTAATTTATTCTTCAACAGAGACTCCAGGAGATTTTAGACATTTAACCTGATTAATTTAAATTTTAAGGCCCTGCTGTATTGATAATTTTAATTAACGTGACTAATTTTGAACAGAAATTATTACAAATATTCATGAAAACCCAACAAACCCAAGACTTATTTAACTTTAGTTGTGGTCACAAGTGTTTTTTTCTGTGTTTGTGTGATTTTAGATTATTAATAATATTAAATTCTATTTTTTTCTTTGACAGAGGAGGTTATAACTCGACTAATTCAGAATTTAAGTTATACAAAAATACATGAAGTCTCACAGATGCTCCGTGAACAAGCTCATTTTTTACTTTCATTTTTGTTGTATTTTTATATGTGCTTTTTGAAGTTTTAGATTATTATCATTCATGAATAAATAAGCAACAGAGACCACAGAAGGTTAACCCGACTCATTTTGAATTTAGTTACCACAAACCTTTAGCGGCTAAATAAAACAATCCTGGAAACAACACAGTGATTAAGGAGAGCTGGCTGCTGTGGTGGTAGAAGAGTCTGAATGTTTGTCGTTTTTACCTCCAGACAACTGTAAGAAGATGGGGCTGGTGTTTGACGACGTCGTGGGCATCGTCGACGTCATCAACTGCAAAGACGTCAAGGTCCAGGTGAGAAGCTAAACTACACGCTGTTGAAAGAGACTGAAACAGAGAGAACAGGCTTCACCGTGGTGGTCGCGTTTGGACGCTGCTCACCGGATTCGTTTCGTCCCATGAGAGGCATCGGTTGTGAAGTTCGGAGGCAACGAACGCGTCACGTCGCGCTGCTCAACGAGTCTAACTTGTTGTCCGTTTGCAGGTGATGGGGAAGGTTCCAACCATCTCCATCAACAAGACGGACGGCTGCCACGTCTACCTGAGCAACGACTCGCTGCAATGTGAGATCGTCAGCGCCAAGAGCTCCGAGATGAACATCCTGGTCCCCCAAAAAGACGGAGAGTTTGTGAGTGTCGCGGTTCAACATTGAATGACACGTCTGGGGCTTCAGATAGTGTAACATCAAGTCCAGTTTATTTATGAACCGCATTAAAACGACAGGAGTTGAACCGAAGAGACGAGACAGAAACACACGGTGACCACAAGAAAGAAGTCAGGATGTGGAGCTCCACCTGAATCAGAGATGTTGGTCTGCAGCAATAAATCTAAACTTTCTAAAGTCTGACCAGCTGCTAATGAAAAGATAAAGACCTGAGGAGGTCAGGGAGAGCTTTTTTTCAGATTTAGTTGATTATATGTTAATTAACCGACTTTGACAAGAAGTCAAACCAGCAGACGAAGTCGGAGCCGTGTTCTAACAACGTGTGACTAAATAAATGACAGACCTGTGACCTTAAATGACCTTAACCTCTCTGCCTCTGTGTTTCTTAGACGGAGCTCCCGGTTCCTGAGCAGTTCAAGACCGTCTGGGATGGAAAGAAGCTCGTTACCACATCAACAGAGATCGCCGGGTAGACGGGTTAAGATGGCCGCCCCTCCTCGACACCATCCCCACCAGACTGATCGACGCCCCACCAGCTAACTGTCACACTGTAGACTGAGATTCGGACCTCATGAGTTCTTTCTCCTTCCCTTCCTCCTTATCAGCCAATCACAGCTTCAGCTGTTCCTTCTGTAAGCCAATGAGAGGACTGCTCGCTTTATCTGGAGCAAATCCTCCAGCCAATCAGCAGGGAGCAGCTTTGTCATTGAAATTGGTTTTCCCCCCGCGAGCACTTTTCGAAAACATTCACGAGTTTTGCCAACAGCTGGGATGCTCTGTATCATGTTTTGTATCTATCTGGATAATGCTGAGCTAAATTTAGCACGTAGATTAGCCAACAACAACAAAAGCACTGCAGCCAATCAGGCTCTTCATCATCAGGATGCTTCTTGGTTTCTGCTCTTCCTGGTCAGGGGGGGCTGCTGTTTAAGTTGTGCCCTGATAGGTTGTCTGTTCCATTATATGCAATTCACTGGTGACGCACTCGTCAGAACAAAAGCCCTTTTCCAGAAGATAACGGCTTCCATATCACCTCCACTGGTGTCGGCTGCAGCGATATTAACATTCATCGTGGATAATAATGTTAAAACGTAACCGTCAGCACTCTGAGAGCACACGCATAGGAGTCAGAATCATCACCAAGCTCCATCTAGATGATGTCGGAACAGTTTCCATGTGCTTTCCCTTAAACCCGCACATTCCCAGGTGTTAAAAACATTCCACGTCAGGAGGCATGTCAGAAAAGTTTGCGATAAAGAGCAAAGAGATGTTTGCACAAAGTGGACGAGAAATGAGACGACTGAGGGAGATAATCGGTGGTAGTTGCATCTTCACCTCAGTCTCTAGATTGGAATAATCATCTGTATAGATATGAATAAATAATGAATAGTCTTTAAATATTAGCCCAACCATCATCAGCGACTCTTCTCGCCGTGTCTGCACTCTCTGGTTCCCTTCAGCTCTCGTAGCTGAGGAGCTCTTCGCTCAGTTTTCTTTTATACTGTCTCTTTTTCTTTTACCTCTTTTTATTTTTATTTTTGGGTCCAAAATCAGAAATCTGCTCATTAGTACTGGAGACATCATTAAAAATGTTGCAATAAAATCTGTGTGTTTGGTGTCTTTATTGGATGAAATGTGCAGAAGCATCATTTTACAGGGAAAAGGCGAATTTTATTCTAAAAGCCCTTTAAAACCAACACAACATGTTGATACAAAGAAAGTTTAGAATGTTTGATCAGAAGATTAAATAATATTCACAGATGATGAACAGTTTTCTGCCAGCATTCCTGTCTCATAGCAGCCCGATTCATCCTCATACATCTTTGTTTTTATAAACTAAATGAGGTTAGTCTGTTGAACTAATGTTAGCGTTGGCTGGTTTAGCTGTTGGCTTCCTGATGAAGGTACTTTTCCACCAGAAAAAACTCAAAACACCTTCAATGATAGCAAAGATCCAGATCACAAACTGGAAAACACGAAACTGAAGAAGAAAGACGACGTTTTGCTGGTTATTAAAATTATAATATCCTGAACCTGAATAACCTCTATCTGCTGTACTGATGAAGTTCTGAGGCTCAGAAATGATGGAAAAAGTCCATTAAAGTGATCAATCTGGACCCTCCTCTGTGGAACTCTGGAACATTCACAGTCTGAGGGTAGAACTCTGCACGGCTTCATTAAATACACTAACGTTATTGCATAATAATACTAGATAATAATAATAAAAATAAAAAGCAATTTATCCTTAAGTACTAACAGTGTACAACAGACTTGACAGTAAATCAACACAAAATATAAAAATGTGTCTATGCGGTCTTTTTGCATTGACATCAGTTACCATGGTGATTTATCAGGTTCAAAAAGATCCACTGTCATAACACTGACTCCTCTGGTTTTAGACGAAACAGACCTCACTAAGCCATTTATTAGGGTCCGAGCACCCAAAAGGGTGCGAAGACCCTATTGGAACTGCT